AAGAAGAGAGTTTTTCAAGAGCACCTGACTTGGCTGGGATAAGTGAATGGATTTTTGTGCCACCCAAATTTTACAGATTAATAATGGCCACCTGCTCCTACTTGGAAGTTCTTGGATTGTCTTTCTGGTGCATCAAGGTGTTAACTGGTAGTATTGATGTGAGTTCTCTTTCCAGACAGCTGCTTCAAGGAGACAGGATGGTCTGGCAAGTAACTGTTCACTGTCTGTAGCACAGATGATCCAAGATGATGCTTTCCAAACCATGTCCATGGAGACTCCAGTGTCTAGAGCAGCTGTTGATGTTGTGCAAGTTGCACTGTGAATGGTTGCCAGAATACCACTCTTCATTTAAATTGCATGCATGTAACTACAGCCCACTGTATTCATGTTTTGTTTTCTTGTTGCTATTACTCATTTTTATGATGCTTCATGGAGGTTGCATTCTTTAATAAAAGCTGTACATCATGTTCCTTTTATTCCCTTTCCTAAAGTGAATCCTACTTCTCACCTGAGGGAGTGGCAGGAAAAGTCAGTGTCCCTCATTCCCTCCTGACATTTGTATCAGCAACACTGAGTCTGTCACTCTCTCCTCTGACAGGATCCTGTTGCCCCTTGCCTCCCCCAACAGCTTTGTACCCATTGTACAGCATTGGGTACAACAGCTTTGTACCCAGTGCTGCTCCCTGCTCCTGCTTTGCTTCTTAGAGCCTGTCAGTTGTGCCTCCAGGAAGGGAACTCTCACCTCTTGAACTCAGTAAGAACATTTGAAGTCCTGTGTAGAAGTCTGAGTGCCTGAAAGCCCCAGAAAATGATAGGAAATCCAAATCTGCTCATTGAATGACAGAAATGATGTGGAGAGAAGTGTGTATGTGAACTGATGATGTGGCAACAGTCTTAGGCACCAGTGGCCACTGGCACATCCTTTCACTTACCCCAGCTCGAGGTGTTGGAAGCTCTTGGTGTTCCAGCAGTGCTGTTTGCTATGCTGCTGTTCCTGTGTGGAATGACTAGAACAAAGTGGCTGCTTACTTTGTAGATTACATGAAAATTAAAACTGCTTCTACTGTAACTTCTTTGGGTTTCATGGAACCGATACCTGTTGGGCTGAATTCACCAATTTGCTTTCTGCACTGGATGCTGAAGATGTTCGTGAGATCTAATGGAATTTTGCCTCCTGCATGGTTCCTGAGGGAATGCTTGTGGCTAGCGGCTGTGTGGTGATGCCTGGGTTGGGATGTGAAAATTAATGGATGTATTTGTTTATTCAGGGAGAAATAAAACCAGCTCTGCTGTCAGTGGCTCACAAATTCTGGCCGAAAGAAGCAGCCGGGAGGGATCTGCACAGAGGATGCCCCGACAGCCAAGTGTGAGCCGAATGCAGAAGGCAGGAACCTCTGGGAAGAACAGCGGGGGAGGCAGCAGTACCTAAATAAGGCCTTGGAACAGATGGATTTTGATGCCTGACAGTGTATATAAGTTGTGCTTGTTAAAGCTGCTTGTGTTGTATGTATTAACCTAAAAACATGATTTCTAATACAGGGAACAGAGCTGTTGGTTCTTATTTCCAAAACTTCCTTTGGCTATGTGGACTGCTAGGAAATGTTCCTTCATTTGGCTTCCCCTGTTTCCCAATGTGCCTATTTACAGCATTCTAGCACCTATATCTGAAACCAGATTGATCTCTCCCAAGACATAATCCCATGTTCAGTTCTCCCAGTGGTGCTGATGTGATTATTCATTTGCAAAGCATTACAGCCCCCTTTGCCTCAGGAGTCACGTCAAATGAGGAGGTTGTGCCAGATAAGGGAGGGAATAGCTCCATGACTTAGAACAAGACCCATACAAGTACCTAAAACAGGTAAGTGGGTTTATTGGAGCTATAAGTGTTACCATGCATGGGTCCAGAGGGTCTCAGGGAGGTAGGGTGCCTCCTAATGGCTCTGGGAGCTCAGGGCCTGTTGATGAATTCCATGTCTCTAATTAGGAGAAAGCGCTTCCATTCTATGGGTGTTAGATGGTGATTCCTAAACCCAAAATCTACCTCTCACAGGCTGTGGGTACAGAGGAGCCCGCTGAACCCGAGATCCTGGCTCTCCCCTGGAGACAAGATACTTCGCTGTAAGAGAGAGAAAATGTATCGCTCCCAGGGATCTTTGAGTTAGATATGTTAAACTGTTGTGCTCCATTGGTGTTCCCCCCTGCCATCCCACCCATGTATCTCGGGCTCCCCCCTCCCCTCTCCTCCCCTATAAATATCCCAGGTTTTCCCCTGTTCGAGGGATTAGCTGTTGCTGACTCCCTTCGCCAAAGCTCTGCCTGAATAAAGGTTTGTGCATGGCTGAACGCTGGACCAGCTTTCTCATCCCTTCTTCCCGTGTCGCCTGCCTGCCACCGCTGAGCCGAGCTGGAATCACTCGCCTGCCCGAAGCCGCACACACGCGCTTTGGCCCAGCCCTTTTCAGGGCTGCTTGCTCCGGGCTTTCCATCGCCACGGCAACTGACGCCCAACGTGGGGCATTCAAAGGAGCCCTGAAGAAGCATCCGCCTGCAGCTTTAACTGCGAGGCGCGCTGCCGTTCGAGCCGCCGCCCCTCGAGGAAGCTTCCTTACATTTTAGCAAGAAGCTATCCAAGAGGCTGTGACCGGGACCCTCGCTGACCATCTGGGGCAAGGAGAAAAGCCCCTGAGGACCGGCCAGGTGACCACCCACCCAGCAGCTTTTTTTTTTCGCCCGCCTGCATCTGCCAAAGAGAAATTGTAAGTCGATCGTGTGAAGGGTTTTTTTTTTTTGGGCTTTTTTCTTTTTCTTTGCTGTTTTACTGCTGGGCGGGGAGTGAAAAAGGATGGGGAACCAGTCCTCCACATCAAGGCTGACCCCACCTGAGAGGGACTTTTACATCCAAGTTGTAAGCACCCTAAAAGCGGGAAATTTTAAGTTTTCTAAAGGGGATTTAAAGAGATTTATTCATTGGGTTTTTAAACATTTTAAGATTAATTCGGATTCTGCTAAATTGGGAATTTCTTGGGATAATGTTAGAAGAAAGTTATATACAGTTCAAGCTAAAGTTATTTTTTCTGTTGCAAAATTTTTTCCTGTGTTTCAAAATATTATTTTCTCATTGGAAAAAGAGGGAAAAAAAGAAGAGGGAGTTTTGGGTCCTCAGTTAAACCCCCCAACCCCGTCAGTCCCTCCAGGTGTCCCGGAACCCCTTTCCCTGAGAGTCAGTCGGCGGGTGGACATTGCCCCCGGGCACAGAGCTGCTGCCGTCTCCCTGACACCCCCCTACCGTCTCTTTACCCTTACCAGGGCAGCAATGGCCATGCCGCTCTGGGTCTTTCCTCTACCCTCTCTCCCATGCCCTCACACCCGGTTGTGTCCCCCCCAGTTCCTAGCGTTAGCACAGATGGCGCCGGCAGTGTGGCAAGCCCCGCCATTTTGTCCCACTCCCACCCCGGTTTTCCCGCCCTCAAAGCCCAAAATGGCCAATTTCCCGCCTTCACCCCTTCTCTTCCTGTCGCGTCCTGCTCCTCCACCCCCCACACTGCGTTGTTGGGTGTAGCCGCGTCGGGCCCTGCCCCATCCATCGGGAAACCTTTCCCCGTCGCAGGCCCCGCTCCCGCCCCTTCGCGCCGGGGCCCCACCCCCAGCAGCGCGCCCGCTCCGGGGTCCCAGTGCGCCGGAGGTCGGGACGGCTCCGGCTGGAGCGGGGCCATCCCAGCCTCCCCACGCAGCCACAAAAGGGCCAGCTCTAGACACCCGAGCCGGCCACGCGCTGCTAGCAAGCGCGCCCTATCTCCACTAGGAGATGAGAGCAGTGACTCTTCTTATTCAGATTCTGAGTATGAAGACGCCTGGGCTGAGGTGCAGAGGGAAGCCACACGGGCAGGGAACTCAGCTCTGTCCCGGAAAATACTTGCCTTTCCTGTAATAATGAGGAGAGACAGGGCAGGAGCACAAGTTGCCGCATGGGAATCCCTTCACTATAGGGAACTGCAGGAACTTTGCAAAGCTGCTGAGGAACATGGCAGGGGTTCACATTTTTTTAAACACTTGCTGGAAGCCTCCTTCTCTGCCCACGTCATGGTCCTGCATGACATCAAGAATATTATGAAGTGCCTTCTCTCCCCAGCAGAGTACATGTTGTGGGAGAGGCAGTGGAAAAAACATTTAAAGCAATTGGCAGATGTTTATGCTAAAGATGCTAACAGACCTAATTTTACTTTAGAGCAATTAGCAGGAGAAGGAGATTTTCAAAAGCCCCGAGATCAGGCCCGGGATCTGCCTGAAGCAGCTTTACAGGATATAGCTAATGCTGCCAAGATATCTCTTTTTACCACCCCTGATGATAAAGTGCCAACACAGCGCTTCACCAATATTAAGCAAGGGGCAACTGAGTCTTTTATTAAGTATATTGATAAGTTAAAGGTGGCCATTGAAAAGCAGATAGAGAGCCCTCAGGCGCAAAAAGAATTATTAGTAAAAATAGCAATGGCCAATGCTAATCCGGAGTGCAAAGCAGTTTTGCGAGCCCTCCCACTGGACCCCGAACCAACCATAGATCAGATGGTTGAAGCCTGCACCGAACACTCCTCTGCCTCAAGTGAGAATACAGTGGCACTTGCAGTGGCTAAGGGAGTGGCAGAGGGGATATCTGGAGCTTATGCTGCAGACCCCAATACAAGTCGTTGTTTTAATTGTGGCGAGCCTGGACATTTTTTCAAAGACTGTCCAGAGAGACATTCCATACAACCACCAGCCCACCAACAGTTACCCAGACAAAACTGGCATTCGGGAAGCTTCAAGCAGAGTGTGGAACGGCCCTGCGCTTCGACATCACATCAAATGCCGCACCGCTCCACCTCTCCTGCCACACCCACCATCCTGCCTCCACGGGGACCCCGATATCAAGCCCAGCAGGTGGAGCGCTTCAGATGGGAACCTGGCGTCAACTGGTAACTAGACTCTCTTTACATATGGAGGGTGACTGTATTTACAAAATCCCCACAGGGAAACATGGACCACCAGGCGGTCCCTCTAACATCTTAATACTTGGGGATCCTACCAACTGTCCAGAACAAATTCATACTGTTCCTGAGGTCCAGACTATATACCCTGGAGATGAAATTTCTATCTTCCTGACCTGCATAGAACCTCCTTATTATTTAAAGGAACAGACTCCCGTGGCACAGGCCTTTTTACTTCCGAGTGACTGCCCAGATCACGTTCCCCTCAACCCCAGCGCTATGTGGACTCAGGTTGTGGGCTTCAGCAAGCCCATCTGCAGCCTGTTGTGTTATGGGGAAAGGATTCAGCACCCAGGAATGACAGACACTGGAGCAGATGTTACCATCATCACCCGCTCCGAGTGGCCAGACAATTGGGAATTACAACCTGTAGCAGGCATGATTTCAGGAATTGGAGGGATGACAGCTTCCATGAAGAGCAAACGGAATATTGTCATGGAAGGACCTGAGGGACAAATGGCAACCATCAGGCCATTTGTGGTGAGAGCACCAATCACCCTCTGGGGACGGGATCTCCTGTCCCAATGGGGGGCTTCTCTGCGGATTCCCAGCAGGGATTTTTAGTCGGGGTCACTGAGAAGCGCGCCATGCCTACCATCCCCCAACTCACCTGGAAACAGCACCACCCAGTGTGGGTTGATCAGTGGCCCCTATCTGAGACCAAACTGTGCGCACTGGAAGCCCTCGTGGAAGAGCAGCTTGCCAAGGGCCACATCACTGAGTCCAACAGCCCTTGGAACTCCCCTGTCTTTGTCCTACGCAAACCAGGCAAGGACAAGTGGAGACTCCTTCATGACCTCCAAAAGATCAATGATGTCATTGAGGACATGGGATCCCTTCAGCCTGGCATGCCCTCCCCTTCAATGCTTCCTCGGGATTGGAAGCTGGCTGTCATTGACATCAAGGACTGTTTTTTCAACATACCCCTCCATCCTTGGGACGCCCCCAGATTTGCATTCTCGGTTCCCTCTCCAAACAGACAAGCACCTTTAAAAAGATACCATTGGCTAGTCCTTCCCCAAGGGATGAAAAATTCTCCTACCATCTGCCAATGGTACGTGGCCCACATCCTGTCACCTGTGAGGACCCTGTTCCCAGATGCCGTCATCCTCCACTACATGGATGACATCCTGGTTTGTGCTGCTGACGATGACTATCTGCACCGGACTTTACAAAAAACTATCCAGACAATTGAGTACGCTGGATTTGAGATCCGTGAGGACAAGATCCAGCACACCTGCCCTTGGACCTACCTAGGACTCCAGATCCACGAGTGAACCATTGTGCCCCAGCAGCTGACCATCAGAGACGACCCCAAGACCCTGTGGGACCTACATCAGCTCTGTGGGTCCATCAACTGGGTACGTCCTCTGCTTGGGGTAACGACGGAAGTCCTTGCGCCCCTCTTCAATCTGCTCTGTGGCAGTGAGGCCCTCAATTCACCATACTCCCTCATGCCGGAGGCCCGGGAATCCATCACCAAGGTCCAGGAGGCCCTGTCTTCACGGCAAGCCCACCGCTATGAGCCCAGCCTGCCTTTCCAACTGGTTATCCTGGGTAAGGCCCCGCGCTTACACGGGCTCATTTTTCAATGGGACACTGCATTGAAGGATCCATTCCTTATCATCGAGTGGATCTTTACACATAACCAGCCCACTAAGACTATTACCACTCCGCAGGAAATCATGGCTGAACTCATTAAAAGAGCTAGAGTCCGTCTCCACACTCTTGCAGCCTGTGAGTTCACATGTATCTTCCTCCCATTGGCAATTGGAAGTTTGGAGCCTTTGCTCCAAACCAATGAGAGCCTTCAGTTTGCTCTCGATAGCTATTCAGGCCAAATTTCTATACACCCACCTGGCCACAGACTTTACAAAACTACATTTAATTTGGTCCCCAAATCATTGCAGAGCAAAACACTGCTCAAGGCTCTGATGGTTTTCACAGATGGCTCAGGGAAATCCCACAAGTCAGTCATGACTTGGAAGGACCCCAGGACACAGAAATGGGAGTCTGATGTCCAAGTGGTCGAGGGATCACCACAGATTGCTGAATTAGCAGCCGTTGTCAGAGCTTTTGAGAAATTCCAAGAACCTTTCAATCTGGTGACTGATTCGGCTTATGTGGCTGGAATAGCTATGAGAGCAGAACATGCATTTCTAAAAGAGGTCTCTAACCCAAATTTATACAAATTGCTTTCTGAATTAGTATATCTTATCTCCCACAGAAAGCAACCTTACTATGTCATGCATGTGAGGGCGCACACTGACCTTCCAGGTGCCATTGCCGAAGGAAACAGGAGGGCAGACGCCTTAGCCATGCCTGCTGAGGCAGCCAATGTCCTGGACATTTTCGCACAAGCGAAATTGTCCCACCAGTTCTTCCACCAAAACGTGCCTGCACTGATGAGAATGTTCAGACTACCCAGAGACCAGGCTAGACCAATAGTTGCCACCTGTCCTAATTGTCAATCTTTCCAAATCGTTAACTCCGGGGTTAACCCCCGAGGACTGAACAGCTGCCAGATATGGCAAACTGATGTCACTCACGTCCCGTCCTTCGGGAGAGTCAAATATGTACATGTGTCAGTAGACACCTTCTCTGGTGTACTGCTTGCCTCAGCCCATGCAGGAGAAAATGCCAAGCACACCATCCAACATTTTCTCCTTGCTTTTGCTACCCTGGGAGTCCCAGAACAAATTAAAACAGACAATGGACCTGCTTACACCTCTCACAAATTAAGAGACTTTTTCAATCAGTGGGGAGTGAAACACACCACGGGCATTCCTCATTCCCCCACAGGGCAATCAATAGTAGAGAGAACCCACCAAAACCTGAAAAGAGTCCTTGATCACCAGCGGGGAGGAACAGAAATCATTCCCCCCATTGAGAGGCTCTGTAAGGCTCTATATGTCATGAACTTTCTAAATTGCTCGTCTACAGAGCCTGACCCCCATGTAATTCAGCACTTTTCTAATTCAACTCATGCCAAACTCACAGAGAAGCCACCAGTGCTGATCAAGGATCCTGAATCACAACTGACATCAGGACCTTTCCCACTGATTACCTGGGGGAGAGGGTATGTGTGTGTGTCCACACCATCAGGACCTAAGTGGCTCCCAGGGAAAAATGTAAAACCTTATTTAGGCGCTACAAACCCTATACCAGACTCAAAACTTTCAAAGTCTCCTGAGACCCACACAGGTCCAGAAAAACAGCAGTCCACTGCAGCCTGGAAACGGAGACGTCGTTGGAGTCCACCAAACCGACCTGCCACCAGACCAACAACCAGACAGAGGCCAAACCGTCCTGCTACCAGGGCCGCAATGAGACGACTGCCAACGTCATGCCTGACACCGTGACAGTACACAAGTCTTCTTCTCCCTCTCCCTTCCCCTTCTTGCCCTCGTTGCCTAGCCCAAATTGCCAGTTTACACCAAAATGCACCTCGGTGCTGCTGCTGGTGTCAGGTCATGTGAACCCAATACATAGAATAACCCTGCTTATAATTGTGTTTTTTTTTAAAGGGGGGGGGGCAGGAGAGAAAGGGAAAAAAGAAAATAGCCCCCCCCCCCTCCAAAAATCAGAGCTAATCTTTTATGTCCTGTTCTAGAAAATGGAGAGCAAAACCATCCTTGAGTTCCTGACGTTCCTAACAATCTGGATGCTTCTGAAAACATCAGCTATAGAGGCCTGGCTAGTAGCACAGCCCCAGGAGAACGTGTGGATCACCCTTGCAAAGACGCTCAAACAAGACCACATGTGCTTGTCCATGGGCAGCGCCACCAGCTCTCTAGACCTTTTGCTCCTGGCTCATGGACACGGCTGCGAGGAAATTAACGGACTGTGCTGCTTTGACCTCTCCAGCCCCAGTGAAGGCATCCACGCCCGCATCCAGAGACCCCAACACGTGGTCCAGGAACTCCAGACTGAAAAGGAGCCCCACTGGCTTGAGGACCTTTTTGGGAGCTAAGGACTCAAAGTCTAGGTTGCCTCCCTCCTCAAAAACATTTTTAAGTTTTCTTGAGTATTATTTTCCTATGCATGTTTTCATGTGTCAAGTTATTAGCTAACTCTCTAGGAGATACCTTTCTAGTAAAAAGGGGGAGTTGTGGGGTGCAGAGGAGCCTGCCGCCCCCAAGATCCTGGCTCTCCCCTGGAGACAAGATACTTCGCTGTAAGAGAGAGAAAATGTATCGCTCCCAGGGATCTTTGAGTTAGATATGTTAAACTGTTGTGCTCCATTGGTGTTCCCCCCTGCCATCCCACCCATGTATCTCGGGCTCCCCCCGCCCCTCTCCTTCCCCATAAATACTCCGGGTTTTCCCCTGTTCGAGGGATTAGCTGTTGCTGACTCCCTTCGCCAAAGCTCTGCCTGAATAAAGGTTTGTGCATGGCTGAGCACTAGACCAGCTTTCTCATCCCTTCTTCCCGTGTCGCCTGCCTGCCACCGCTGAGCCGAGCTGGAATCACTTGCCTGCCCGAAGCCGCACACACGCGCTTTGGCCCAGCCCTTTTCAGGGCTGCTTCTCTAGAGAAGTCGCGGTGCTCCGGGCTTTCTGTTGCCACGGCAACAGGCCTGCTTCAACAGGTGCTAAAATGAGATTTGCAGGGTCTGGGTTTCTCCTGCTCTGATCAGCTAACGAAGTCCAGCTGCTCCCCTCGTAAAAATGAGGGTGGAGTTCAGAGGCCTGAGGGCAGGCACAAGTTACAGTACCAGTGCTGGGCCTCAGGAGAGCAGACTTTGGCCTCTGTGGGCATCTGCTTGATACAGTCCCTTTGGTTCGAGCCCTGGAGGGAAGTGGCACCCAAGGAAGAAGGTTGATATTCTAGAATATCAATGCTCAAGAGTGGTCCCACCTGAGACCATCCAATGCCTGAGCTCCAACTACAACCCTGACATCCCTTTTTGGAACCATATCCCTGGCCCCTGTCATCCCTGCACCCCGTGTTCAACCCCTCCCATAACCTCAGCCTTATTCCCTCCAGGCTCTGCAGAGCTGTAGATGCTGCAGTGAGTTGGGGTTTGACTGGGGTGCAGCACTTTGGGGCAGGGGCTGTCCTCTGTGGCACTTCAGCTCAATGTCCTGGGGGCTGTAGGTCCCCTGAGGTTGCCAGGGTCACTGGAAGGGACAGGGCAAAATGTGGGGTGTTTTTGAGGGGTGTTAGGGTCAGACAGGGCTGCAGGGAACCCTCCTACCCCATGAGACAGCATTAGGTTAGGTGATTAAAAGCTCATCTCCTGGAATGAAGACAAGCAGGGGGAGGTGGAACCCTGGGAACCTCCACTATGCTGGAGATTCCATGTCCCAGCTGCTCCCAGGGCTCTTGCTGGGCTCAGAAGGGTGGCTCCTGTCCAGAGGGTAAATGGGGCCACGTGCAGGTCATGTCTGGTCCCTCGCTAGGGAAAAAGGTCACAGTATGTGATACAAGGGAAGAGCATTTTTGGATTGTGAGTTATGGGATGTTTGGGGGAGGAACGAAAAGGGGGGAAAAGGAGGGATCAAGGTGGTTTAGGGGAGCCGTAAATGTGGAAAAACAGAGAGATAAGGATACGATGGCCTGTGTGGCATCTAATGCCCATCTACCAGTCTGGGATTACAGACACAGTCTGCCTCCTGTAGTCACACATTGAGCCTTCCTGGTGGCTGAAAGCTGGGGACATGGACTTTTGTCACTCTTAGGGTGTTTAATCAGGTGCATGAGCAGGGCACTGACTGATGCACTTTCTGTGCAAAGCTGGTTTTTGACAATTACTCACTGTTTAAATGAGCAATGTTGACTGTAGCATTGCCAAGAAGGCTTATAAAATCCACAGATAATTTTATGAGATTTTTTTAATAAAGCAGTTAAAGCAGATAAGCAAATCAAATTAATTAAAGCTCTGTCAATATTTGCACAGAGATGTGTGATGTTAAGGAGAACTCGTACTACCTGAGTGACTTCAGAATTCTCAAGATTTTAGAAGGGTAATGTGCAAACAATTTTAGAAGGGTAATGTGCAGCCTAATAAATCAAGGGCTCTCAATCTCACAGAGTGACCTTGCACAGCATCCTGACTCAAGCAGAGGAGTCCCCAACAGTCCTTCTCTCAGGACAACTGACTCTACTGCCCTGCCTGCCTACCAAGGCTCCATCTGTACCCCAGCTGCTTCGTATTTGTCGTCAGATGGTCACAATAAACCTTGCTGGCTGAGGTCTGACCGTCAGCCCCTCCACAGCAGCAGCAGGTGGCATGGTTAGTGCCGCATACCTGAGGTCAGACCCAGGTCTGAGGGCTGCTGGAGCCAGTGCACCTGCCACAAGTACCCGGTGAGGTTTATCCTTAAACTGGAATGAACACCTGCAAAAGGAGGAGTAGGGAAAACGGGGAGAGCCTAGAAGCTCTTCTAGTGGACCATCCGCCAGCGCTGAGCAGCGCGGGCAGGAGCTATGTTTTCCTACAAACTATTCCCTTGCCCCATCGTTGTCCAAAAAGGGAGGGCCGGAGACGAAAATTTGAAATTCGGGAAAAACGAGAATGGCCCGTACGGGGGTCGAACCCGCGACCTTGGCGTTATTAGCACCACGCTCTAACCGACTGAGCTAACCGGCCTCGACAGCGCTTCCTCCACGCCGCTACTTGGTGACCCGGCCAGGGCTCCGTGCCCGAGAAAAGGGAGCAAAAACACAATTAGCAGAGGATGGTTTCGATCCATCGACCTCTGGGTTATGGGCCCAGCACGCTTCCGCTGCGCCACTCTGCTGCCACTGTCACAAGTGCGCCACAGCCCCAGCAAGTCCAGAGCCACACCGGTAGCGGCAGCACTGACAAACACCAACCCAGCCGTGCGGGGTGACCGGACACACCGGCAGCACCGGGGGACAAGGAACGGGCGCACTGTGGTGCCCCACGTCCGGCTATAACTGGGACTTCCTTCCGGGAACCACAGGTCAAGTCCTCTCTGTGCTGCTGAAAGCGGAACAGAGGCGTAGCCCATCTGGTATCTTCTGGTTTTTGGCTTGCCTGGCAGGAGCTCCCATTCACCTGTCGTGTACAGCCACCCGTCCATCAGATTTTAGGAAAGCAGGCAAGGGTCTTATGGGGAACGTATAAGAAGGCAGATGGGTGGATTTTTGCACAAGTTTCTCACAAATTCATGGTTTCCCAAACTGCTGTCAGTGGGCGATATATTCATATTTTGGAAATAAAAACCAGATGAGTGCATAAAGCCTGTGTCTGGAGCTACTCAGCACATCACACACCTTGTGTCTGCCTTGGACAGCAGCACTGTGTTCACAGCAGCACTGTGGCAGAAGGACTCAGGCACAAAAAGAGGATGCAATGTCAGCACTACAATGTGACTCCTCATTTTGAGGAGAAGCTGAGGATTCCCCCCCACGTGCTTACCCAGCATGGAACATGTTTTGCCCTGAGGGGTTGCTGGCTGTGACTTCGTCCCTCTTCAGTCCCACATCCTCTTTCTAACAGGCACAAGGAAGTGGGGTGGACCCCTGGGAAGTTGGTGTTCTGGTCCCGGGGTGAACATCCCCCAAAAATTGTCCATCCTGTTGAGATGTTGCTACCTTGTACCATCAGTATCTTGCCCCCTGGAGTACTGAGGTGTGTACCACAGCCACCCTCAAAGAAAGGGACCTCTCACCTCTGAGACACTTTTGGGTCCAAGAACTGGGCCGCTGCAGATGCTAATTAAGGTGGGGAAGCCACCTTCAGGTGTCTGCCAAGGAAGGTGGGAATCTTCCTTGAAATGGAAAAAATATGACCATAAGGGAATAAGAGACTGGTTCCTGTTCTGTTCTGGTTCTGTTCTGTTCTGCTCTGTTCTGTTCTGTTCTGTTCTGTTCTGTTCTGTTCTGTGGGAGAGGCAGGACTGGTTCCGGTTCTGTTGGGTGTTGCTGCTGGGGTTGGTTGTCTGTCTTGTCACACATATAAATACTAATAAAAAACTACTGTTCCTTTCCCCGTATCTTTGCCTGAAGGCCCCATAATTTCAAAGTTATAATGATTTAGAGGGAAGGAGGTCATGTTTTTTTCATTCCAAGGGAGGTTCCTTTTAAAGCAAGACAAGTAGCAAGAAGTTCAATTCTAGCAGTTCAAATGTCAGTGTAAATCCTCTTTCTAGGAAGCTGGCTTTACCATTCCTTCTGTAAAACTCCTGGCACCTCAGCTTCAGGTGCAAGTTTGAAAACCCAACATGTTAAGAGTAATTATTAGAAACTCAGAATAATGGAGGCTGGAAGAAACCTCTGCAGTCTCTGGTTCTCCCCTTGCACACAGCAGGCCACTTGGATAAGGTCTTGTCCACTAAAGTTTTCAAAAATTTCAAGGATATTTTCACAAACTCTCTGGGCAGCCCGTTCAAAATCTGAATATTCTAAAGGTACAAAAATATCCCTCATATCTAATCCAAATTTCCCATGTTCTGACATGTGCCCATCATCTCATATTTTACCACTGTAAAAAAATATTTGCCCTCATTTTCTGAAAGAGTATCTACCCCCACACTAAGCAGTTGCAGACAGCAATATGATCTCCTTTACCTAGGAAGGAACAAAGATGATGAAACCCAAAAACTGCTTTTTCTGCAAAGTTCCCTTGTGTTGATATGAAAAT